CACCAAAGTCGGTCAAGATGACCATAATCACAACGGCAGCCACACAAACCTATCCCATAGCCCAGCTAGAGTCATGACCTAAGATTTTTTGGCAATCTGCATGGTAGCACAGCATTGCGATCGATCGAGTCACCGGTGAACGGCGCGGAAATCGCTGAAATACTCTTCATTATTCTCCTAGGCCTGTCTGAACCAGGGAATGCCTGATCAATGGATGATCCCGTACCCTAGTGGAGCGTTTGGTTGGAGGGGTAGACAGGAATGGGTTGGGATCGACCAAAAAAATTACACGTATGATCCTAAATGTAAATCACTTGAATGGTTCCAATTAAAATAAAAGAATATGCCATGAAGATGTTTAGGGTTGCATGGTAGCCCAATCGACCCGATCAAATGGTCACCTTTTGCATGCATGACCATGCGAGGATGTTGTGGTCCTCCTTACTCGTGGTCTCATATACCAAAAAAATTGCTCATCCTACTTCCACAGCCAAACACATGAATTTTCATTGGCCTCATCCAAAAAAAAACTGAATGGTCCGAACGCGTCCATACCGCATCTTCAACCAAACACACCCTAGGTTAGTCAAGAAAAGAGTAAATTCCGGTTTTTACCCCATATTTTGATATTTTTGACACTAATTACCCCATTTAGCCATATTTCATCCATTTTACCCAATTTAACAAAAGTTCTGCCACAATTTACACTGTTTAAAATTTTGTGAGCGTTCTGACCGACATGTCCCAATTGTCAGGTCCACTTGGCATCCCACATCGACCGTTTTTTCCTGCCTATTTTCTTCCTGCTGGACCGGTCCTCCCAGCTTCTCCTTGACCGGGAACAGGACCAGCCCGATGGAGGTCGCTCGCGTCGCATCCAACGCACAACGCCCGAGTCGGCCGTGGGCCACGCTTGCCTCCAGTCGGTTCTTGCTTGTGTTGCCTGTCCCCTATCGATTGCATCGCCCGTCTAGGTTTCCAACCCACACACATGCTAGGCTCGCTTGAACCTTGGGTTGGGGATTGTCAGGCAGCGGTGATGATGACAGCGGTGGCGCCGATGAGTGCTGAGCGGCCGGCCATGCGATTTCATACCTCCTCGAGCAGGGTTGTATGGCCGCGGCATCCAAGCAAGAAATGACCCCGTGGAATCCGATGGCTCCGTCAAGCTCGCCGACGTTGGCATAGGCGCGTCCATGTACATGATCCCATCAGGCTGTGACCAGTTCATCTTACTACTTTGGCGACATAGCAGGGACCCCATGAGGATGTGCTCAGTTGATGGCGGGGCTATGGCGATGGCTGGTCCAACAAATTAGTGAGGTTGGTGAACAAACAATCCCTCTCAGTCGTACCCCATTCCACAAGATTTTGACCATATCTATCATAGCAATTTGTGTAGTCTGATATTTTCCCGACTCATGCATTAGCCGGCGAGGCGTTTCATTAGGACAGAATTAAGATGCTTATTGAAGATCATGTGTATACATGTCACCCTTCTGCAATGTGTAGGAGCTAAGAAAGGTGAAGACTGACAAGGTGTTTGTGCCGCTGCTTGTGTAGCCTGTCATTGCCATTGCCACTGTTTGGTGTATTCTGTAGTTTGTGTAGTTGTGAACTAGTGAAGCTATCTATAAATGGGAAGCATTATTCAATCCTGTTTCGAACATGTGAATCCAGAGCAGTCTATAGCCTATATTAATCAGTTTTGACAGTAGTGTGAAGCAGAAATACGATCTGTTTGGCAAAAGAGAGATAATTTGACAGCATGATCCTTGAATAAGGAGACGAATTGACATCATGACCCAGGGAACAAATAGGCAGAAATAGTTGTCATAACACAAATTTTTCGCATTTTATTTCCATGATCTGTTGCAAATAATAGAGAAGGATCTATTTTATAAATAATAGGAGAATACCATCAACTCCAAAAAATAGACAGGGTAAATAGGCACAACACAATTGGACCTGCCGGTTAGAATGCTTACAAAAAATTAAACAGGGTAAATTATGGCAACATTTCTACTAAATAGGGTAAAATGGATGAAATCCTGCTAAATGGGGTAATTAGTGTCAAAAATGTCAAAATAGGGGGTAAAAACCGGAATTTACTCTCAAGAAAAACACAAGGTTACGCCCAAAATATCAACACATACGCTAGCTCGGAAGAGAAAACAAAACGGGTGAGCGGCATGGACCTGATGCTGACGCCTTTTAAATTCGGAAATGGTCGACATCCCGGTCCAGTTTTCCATTGATGCGGACATGCAGTCGAGTCATATGTCTCAAGATGCTGAACGATGACGTGGAGACGCCCCCTAATTGTACCATTATAATCATCTGTAATATACTGGAAAAAGAACTGCAATCGGTGTTACATGACGGCTGTGCTAGCTTAAAGTAAAATTGTGTGCACCTCATAAGGAAAGCAGCCTATCTAATACATTATTACAACAAAGTTAAAAGGGGCTTGCTTTTCATTTGCTTGTGGATTTCCTCGAAAATGATGTGCGAACCCCATCCACCCCAAACCCAATATTGAATATGTGAGCATATTTTCATTAAGTAAATCAGAAATGCGGTAGATAAACCATGATGAATATAGTAAATATGACGATCGAACGATTAAAGTACTACATATACTAGAGATGTAATCAGGTATGTATGGCAACGCTAACATGTCCAGATCAATTGTAGTAGTCCAACAAGTGCAGAAGCATTCCCGGTCATAAGGGATAGTAACACATACACAAAGCAGTGAAAGAAGAGACATTCACGTCGGTAACCATGTCGCCAAAAAGATCATCGACGTCAGGGAAGTAGCCATTTGCAACCACGATGGAGAAAGATCCAGTAGTCAGGTGGGAGTGCTCCCAAAAATCTTATCACTCCTCTCAATACAGAATCACAAGAGGCGGTGTTTCGCAAGCATGCTACTCCACTTCACGGGGCACGCCGTGAAGTGGAGTCGGAAAGATGTAGACGGCGCAAAGCTCTAGAACTGGGAGGAAGACGGAGAGGCGTTGTGGCCATGCATGGCCGTGTTTTCGTCTACAAAGAGGATTGGTCTCTTGTAGATGAGCTGAAAATGATCCACTAGGAAGAGGAAGATAAACAATCTGTGTCTGCTTAGATTCGTCTTCCACTTGTAGGCAAAACATTCAACTTCCGCATGACAACAACAAAGACAACACGTAAACATGTCGTGGGTACTAACTCGGCTGGCTCACGCGAGGCCTGCGGCGAAGGAGGAGCACGTGTGTATGTGTCCACTTCTCAAGCTCTTCGTGGTGTGTGAATAAGCCAACCTTATATGTTGGCCCAACATGCCCTCCATAACCGGGACGAGACTAAGCTTTCCACCCTCCCCTTGCCATGGATGAATGGACGACGTGACCTCTGGGATTATTTAGGAATTTTGCAAAGTTATAAATGGTTTGAACCAATAATTCCAACACCCAAATCCTCAGCTTTTGATTGAGTGATCCATACAGTAGAAAATTAGTCAGGGGAAGAGAACTGAGGACCAATGCTGCCTTTTATAAGTATGTGTTTGGAGTTTGGACTATTGATCATATATACATTGCATTCGTTGGAAAGAAGTAGTTGAAAACCTTAACCTATGGTAGCTACTCTAATTTGAGCCATGAAAGGCGGTGTCATATTGCCATTTTTAAAGTGGAATATAAGTTCTCAAAATTTTTGAATTTGTTTTGCATGTTTCAATTTAGCATCAACTAATAAGTGCACGCCTTTACCATGGTGCTAAAACTTCTAATAAGGTGCAAATCCACTTAAAACGAACAGGCTATGGTTAGGTGATTTTCTGTTCTGAGGTTCTAGAAATCTGATACAATTTACCAGTGCGAAGAATGCTATAAAGTTATTCCGAAAGAACATCAGTTAATATGATCACCTATGTATGTTCCACACGAAAACAAACCAAGTTCCGTTGTTATTTTTGTACATGAAATAACAGTCTGTTTTGGACGAATTTTCATGGATTGTCATCTCCTAGCATCCCATATAACATGAATTCTTTGTCACACTTTTTTTGCAAGGCCTAGAAAAATAAATTACTTACTATCATAATTAGGTTTTTTATTGGCAAAACTGTCCAACACTAGGTATATGGTTTCTTTGGAAGTTAAAGGTTTAATGCACGTCATTTTATAGTTTTCGGTTCAAGTCGGACCGAGCACAATAGTTTAGGGATTAAATAGACTTTCTTTTTACTTTTTTAAAGATCTTCGATGAACTAGTAAATTCTTATATACACTGATGCATTGTAATATCTAGCCATGCAAAATTGGGCAGAGAATCAGACTGGTTTTGCATATAATAATATAGCAGGAGAAACTTGATTTCTTAGGTACGGTGAAGGCACGGTGGTTCAATGAAAGGATAAAATTTCCGTTATTGCAATAAAGCATCAATCGGTTGAACAGACCCAAAGCTGTTGAACGAGAGATCAGCAGACGCAAGGTAAACGAGTGAAAGTGCACTAAAGAAATTACTGCCATTGCAACGTTGCCAGAAACAATCCTAGCTACCTGCAAATATTTATATTTTCCTCACAGTCTTAGCCATCAGGTTTTCCAAAATGGAGAGTAGCACAAGATAAATATATGCCCCAGAACAGACTCTAAATGTCTAAGCCGAAAAAGGGTGACTAAAAGGAGTCAATATGTGTGACTTCACAAGTCTACACTCACCAAATTAAAATTAAGTCTCCAAAAGACAGAGATTAATTTATTGCCAAGTAAAGCCGGCACATATCTATTCGATCTTGCGTACCGAGCTAGAGCACCGGTCGCTTTCTCCAGTGCCAAGAAACTGCGACCGCCTTTTCTGCAGGAAACCGCGTAGGCGTAGCTTGACATCACTGTAAGCTCTATATAAGCTACCCGGGCCACCACCACCTCCATCATCCAGCTTCCAGCCAGTGCAGCAGCAAGACAAGCACAGCGACGATCGAGCACTTGGAGCAGCAGCAAGCAATGGCAGTGGCAGCAGTGGCGTCGTCGACCATGGAGGTCGATCAGGACCTCCCGGGCTTCCGGTTCCACCCCACGGAGGAGGAGCTCCTCGGCTTCTACCTCTCCCGCGTCGCCCTCGGCAAGAAGCTCCACTTCGACATCATCGGCACCCTCAACATCTACCGCCACGATCCCTGGGATCTTCCTGGTACGTACATATAGAAGAACAACTACGAACAAGAACATCGTCGTAGTGATCGTTTGATCGATGCATGCATGTCTGAGCAGCGAGCTGATGAGGTGTGTGTATGGATATGCAGGGATGGCAAAGATCGGGGAGAGGGAGTGGTACTTCTTCGTGCCGCGTGACCGGAAGGCGGGGAGCGGCGGGCGGCCGAACAGGACGACGGAGCGGGGGTTCTGGAAGGCCACGGGCTCCGACAGGGCCATCCGGAGGACCGGCGACCCCAAGCGTGTCATCGGCCTCAAGAAGACACTTGTCTTCTACCAGGGCCGCGCTCCCCGGGGCACAAAGACGGACTGGGTCATGAATGAGTACCGCCTCCCCGACAACGGCGCGCCGCCGCCCCAGGAGGACACGGTGCTGTGCAAGGTGTACCGGAAGGCAACGCCGCTCAAGGAGCTCGAGCAAAGAGCCTTTCAGATGGAGGAGATGAAGCAGAGGTCCGGCGGCAACGGTGGGTACGGCTACAGTGGCGCGACCAGAGCGTGCCCGGTCCCGGCAGCCGGCGACTTCTACCTGTCGCAGTCCGACGACGTCCAGGACAACTTCCTGATCCCCTCCTCCTCCTCCTCCTCGTCGTCGTCGGTGGCACTATCCGGCAACAGCAGCAGCCACGACGCGCCCAGGGTGGCCAAGGAGGAAGCAGACGTCGCCACGGCCACTGTCGCGTCGACGTCGTCTCTGTCGCAAGCGGCGAACGCCCCCTTCCATCTTCAGCTTCCGGCCGTGAACCCACCCTGCGGCCTCCAGCTACCGGCGGCGAACCATGGGATGTCGAACATGTCCAGCCTACAGCTACGGGCGGCGAGCCAGGGTGTTGTGGACCTGCCCAGCCTGCAGCTCCCGGCGGCGAGCAGCCACGGAGTGTTCGACTGGCTAAATGACCCGTTCCTGACGCAGCTGCGCAGCCCGTGGCAGGACCAGCATTGCATGTCCCCTTACGCCCATCTGCTATACTAGCCAGATGCAAGTCGTGCAGAGAGCAAGTATGTAAAACTTGAAGCAGAGTAATGGTTAGCTGTAAATTCAGTTGTGCATAGTACTAGAAGAGTCAATTACATTAATGGTGCTACAACTTGACATAAACGATCACTTTGGTGCTGGAAGTTTCGGTGTACATTAAAGTGGTGCAAAACTTGGCATTGGCGTGCAAGTACAGTGCTTATCTCGTTTGTATACGGAATGAGTGCTGACTAGGACCATGGGGCCCGCTGTCAGCCACTCGACTAGGGGGAAGGAAAGTATGGCCTAATTTATTGAAAAACACCCTTGAGATATATATTTTCACAAAAAGGCCCTGTTGACATGGCATTTTTTCACCTGTATGACCAGTGGGTCCCGCCACTCAGAAGAGAGTGAAAATTAAACTACACTAAAAGTGAGACTGCCCGGTATCGAACCCAAGACCAACAACTTTAAACAATGGGCAGTGATAGGCGCCGGCGCACCGGCCCAATTTTCGGCCGATCGGCTGCCGAGCGTACGATACAGACTTTTCAACCGTACGATACAATTTTTCCTTGTCTCCAAAAAGTCAACCACGCTGGAAAAAAGGTAGCGACCTAGTTTAGGCGCGCTCGCCGGCCGCCGCACTTGTCCTCGGCATCTCGTGCTTGCCGGTCACCCGTGCCACCGCGTCCACCCACCCGTGCTCGCTGGCGTTCGTGCCATTGCGCTCGTCTCAGCTGCCTCCGCTCGACATGGTTGTAGCTTGAACACAAACGGGTTCAAGCATGTGGTCACCATGGTTGCAACATCTCGGCCGTCTCCTTCTCCGGCCGCCGTCATTGACTTGCACCGCCACTGCCATGTCCAGCAAAAACAAATCTAAAAAGCAACAAAAACCTCCAATACACAGTTGAAGCAAAAAGATAAGCTGGTTCCAGCAAAACTTGATGCTATTTCCAGCAAATATCGAAAGCAACAAAAACCTCCGGTACTCGGTTGAAGCAAATAGATTTGCCGGTTCCAACAAAACTTAATGATGGTTCCAGCAAAAATCTCAGCAACAAAAACCGATAAGCCAATTGTAGCAAATGAATTAGCCGGTTCCAGCAAAAAATAAATGCTAGTTCCAGCAAAACAATCTCACTGAAAAAAGAGTCCAGTGCCCATAGTAGCAAAAAAAAGACGGTTCCAGCAAAAATAAAGGCTGGTTCCAGCAAAAAAATGTGTTGCCTGCCCAGGGCGCGTCCGGTTCCAGCATCAACATGTGCCGCTTGCAGCTCCCTGTAGGCCGGTTTCAGCATCGCTGCGTGAGCAGGAACCAGTCGTCGTCGTCGCGCACCATGGTGACGTAGCGGGTGCGCGAACTTGCAGCCCAGTCGTCGGGCCCTTTGCTCGCAGCTCCAAGGAGGGGAGCGTGTGTGTGCAGCATGTGCTTGTGCTCAACCTCGTCGATCCATGGTGTACTGCCTAGGATATGAGAGAGAAAAGCAAAAAATGCAAACAGCTCACCCCCTCTCATGGATATATGGTGGAAAATGTCACGGGGAACAGATAAGGCAACAAAAACGAATTCGATTTCATGAGGATTGGGTGTGGATTCCTGAAGAGAGAGCACAAGAAGGGAGATGAGAGATATTGAGCAAGGGGATTGAAGGAGGAGACGCCTCATATGGTCTCCAGAATATGCGAGGGGATAAGATGGAAGCGGTGGAGATAAACTTGGCTTTGTGGGTGGTGGGCCAGGGCTGTAGCGACGCGAGCGTAGCTTTGTGGGTGGTGGACCAGGACTGTAGCGACGCGAGCGTGGCGACCGGCCGAACACTCGGCCGGCGCACTATTCCCAAACATTTACCTTAAACAATTTGGCTAACCAACACGACATCACATTCGTATTCAATACAGATAATAACATTCTACATATTAACTCTGGCCGCATGCGGAGCTTATATGGGCCGCAGATAGTGCGCCCATTCTGTAAAACGTAATTAATTGTTTTTAGTTAATTATGTTTTACAAAAACAAAAATTAAAGGAACAGATGTTAATCGTATTTTTACTTAATATGTGAACAATGTTTTAAAATAATTTATTCTGTTTCATGTACAATATTTATAAACACAAATATTAACATCTGTTTCATGAACAATGTTTTAAAATACGATTAACATCTGTTCCTTTACTATCTGAACAATGTTTTAAAATAATATGTGAACAATGTTTTAAAATAATTTATTTTGTTTCATGTATAATATTTATAAACACAAATATCCATGCGTTATTTTTATTACTGAGATTATAATTTATACACTTTCTACAGAAAAATTTAAAAAACTAACAGGTGCAAAACGGACCGTAAGATCTGCCTCCTCCTGCGCCGAGGTCAAATACACAGAAGGTCGTTATCCAAATTGGGCGGCGAGGTTGCAATTGGTGGAGTGGTTAGCCAGGTGCTTTGCGTTGGTGAGGTGGTGTGTTCGAGACCTGCTGGTAATTTTTTTAAAGAAAATAATATTTCGAGGGTGTTTTTCCAAAAATCAGGCCACACGTCCCTTCTCTCTGGTTTTGTGGCTGACAGCCGGCCCCACACGTCTGTCAGCACCGGCTCCGAAGTAAGCACCGTATTTGTATGTCGATGCTAAGTTTTTACACCACTTCGATGTACACCACAACTTCTAGCACCAAAGTGACCTTTTACGCCAAGTTGTAGCATCACCAGTGTAATTGACTCTACTACGAACCTAGATGTCAGTCTCTTTGTTTAACATGACAGTTTGCAACTAAGCCTGCAATGAACTAAGCCTGCAATGGTTAGCAGTAAATCTAATGAATTAACTTAAGAAATTGTTCTATGTTTGTCAAACTTCAGGGTAAAAATAGTTTTTTAATAATCAAGAATGCTTGTGGTGCTAATAAAAAAAGAAAAAGAAATATTATTATCGTCCATTGATGTTTTAGACATTAAAGCGACATGCGAGGAAGGGAGATAACAACATGAAGTTCTTCCATTTGATCATGAATGGTACATAGTGTAAAATGGAAATTGTTCAACTTGAGAACAATGAGCAAACCATTGTGGGTAATCTCAAATCATATGTTTCTAATTATTATAAGAAGTTGTTTGTCGCACCGGTGTACAACTTTGTATGTACAATATGGCGTCGGCATCGCCTTTTACGAAGAAAATAGATGTTTGAGGCCACCTCACAAATGAAAAGTATTGAAGCTCTTGGACCATATGGTTTTTCAGACGAATTTTATTAGAAATGTTGGAGCATTATAAAATGTGACACAATGTCGTTGTTTGAAAATTTAATGAGCGGGGAGTTTCAACTATTTAAGTTAAACTTTTGAACAATAATTTGCTTCCTAAGAAAGAGGATGCAATATGTATTGAGCAATTGTGGCCTCCCAAGGTGCGATAACACACACTGTTGTGTGGCATACCGAGACGACTTTCATTCCAATCCAAAACATCCCGAAGGGAGTGGTTGTCCTTCATGAAATCATAAGAAAATGACCTTTCTTACAAGGAGCTCTACGTATGAGGGTGTTTTGATCCTGCCTAGAGGAATCTTGTGAAGACATTTGTTCAAGGTGGTAGTGCCGGGATGAAGGTCAGTGACAAGATAGATACTATTTTCAAACCCAAAAGGGGTTACTATAAGGTGACCTATGTCGCCAATTCTCTTGAATATTGTTGCCAATCTGCCGGCAATCCTCATAGCAAGGGCTAAGGAAAATTGTGAGGTACAAGATCTCATCGTGCATTTAGTTGATGGGGGGTGTCAAATCTCCAATATACTCATGGTACTATCATTGTGATGGAGCATGATTTGGCTAAGGAAGTTAATATGAAACCGTTCCTTTGTCTCTTTGAGAAATTGCCGGGGCTTGAAATAAACATCCACAAGAGTGACCTCTTTTGTTTTGGTTGAACCAAAGAGGAAGAACATGTTTACGAATTACCTTTTGGATGTGAAGTGGCTAAACTTACATTTTGTTATCTTAGAGCACCCATTCACTTGATAAATCTTACAAGTAAAGACTGAAAGTGTAATGAGGACATAATTTGAAAAGAAGTTCAGTTGTTGAGCAGGACATTTGATGTCCTATGGAGGACAACGGGTCCTACTAAACTCGATGCTAACCATCCTACCCATGTTCATGCTCTCATTCCTTGAAGTATCAAAAGGTACTTCATTCAAATATCTGCCATTAACAGCCCAATGTAGCAAAGTCCCATTTATGTATTCCACCAAACATGAATTCTCATGAACCACTCCACAATCCTTAAAGGGAGATTTTTTAACATGCTCCCTCTTACCTCCCCATTTCACATGAGAGTTAAGAGTGTAAAATAGATCTGAGCCGTTGATTGCATGAAGTAGTGGGTTTGATTACCTCTTACCTTCTTACCTCCCATGTGAAAAGAGGGGGGGGGTAAGAGGGAGCATGTTAAAATTACTCCTTGAAAGGACCTTCCCAACTCGCAGACGTCTTCCTAAACTTGGTTATCCTTTAACTAATTGATAGAATTAACTTCCACATTGGTCACCAACTTGAAAGCTCTTAAACTTCACTTTCTAGTTGTAAGCTCTCTCTCTGCCCTTTCCTCCCACTCTCTCTCTCTCCTTCCCTCCCTCTCTCCCTCTCTCTCTCAGCCAGCTAATCATCTAGTAGTAACTCCATCAACATTATCGATCATCAAATTATGAAAAGCCACCAACCAAAAATCAATCCACCAAGCTTACTTTCTGCAGGCAGAGGCTGACAGGGTTGAGAGGATCGGCGGAGGTCGAGGGACGGCATTGGGAGGGAGGTAGGGGCCTGCTACCTCTTGAGCACTGCGTTGGTTTTCCCTTGAAGAGGAAAGGGTGATGCAGCAAAGTAGTGTAAGTATTTCCCTTAGTTTTTGAGAACCAAGGTATCAATCCAGTAGGAGGTTGCGCGCGCGTCCCTAGTACCTGCACAAAACAAATAACTCCTCGCAACCAACGCGATAAGGGGTTGTCA